GAGTATTTAACTTAGGTAAAGTTGAGTTGATTATGAGCTGTATTTATTATGTTTTCTTTTGTCCTTTTTTAGTAACAGATTTTTGTATATGTCAAGGATTAACCTTTTTTGGATACTTCCAGAATTCTGGAAATTTTTGTTATTTTTTTTTTTGCTGGATATCTAAAACATTTTCTATACTTAAAAGTTTAAATACATCTATTTGTTTTATAAGCTTTTTTACTCATCACTCATAAAAAAAAATAAAATAAAATAAAAAACTCAGCTATAAGCAAAAATAAGAGGAAAATAAGAGAAAATATTTTCCGGGTATTTTACCCAAACAAATTTCCGGATTTTTAAAATATTGCATGGACGATCTATGATATGTATATTGTATAAAGCTATGATTGTATGTATATTGAAAAAGTTATTTTTTTTTAGTTTATTCTTACTGCAGAATCAGAAGTAGAAATTGATTTTAATACATAAAAAAAAAACACAAGAAAACTCCTTTAAGTCAGCAAAACAGAAAGAGAAAAAAATATGTATTTTTTTTTCTCTTTCTGTTTTGAAGAACCTCCTTTACCATCATTACCATCGTGGGAGCCAAAGCTTCCTGATTTCGAATCAGTATACATTTTAAAATTTTATCGCATTCGTAAAAATAATAATTTTTTTTGTTTCATTTTTATGGTTTATTTGCTTTTTTTAGTTACCATTTTTAAATTAAAAAAAAAAATTAAAAAAGTAAAATTTAATCTGAATATTGTGAATGTATTTATAATCATTGTTAATCTTGTTCAGATATTTTTGTCCGTCTCTGCCTCAATGGATCAAGTAGATGACTTGCCAGTTACACAGATAGTGTTTCCATCAGAAATGCAGTCTGTTTCACAAGTTCAACCGTTACTCCATTCATCTTCTTCCTTTTCTTTACCATCTTAAAAAACTGGAATAGACCAAATAAATAACTTTATTCGGAAAGCAAATGTTGAACCCAATACTGTTGAAGGCATTCAATTTTTAGTGAACTCCATGTACAGAAAACTTTGTGGGTAGGAAACAGAAATGCGTTCCATGCATTCAATTTTAGACACTAATCATGGTAATAAAGAAAATAATAATATAGATTATTTACCAGCTAATTCAGTTGAAGAGTTTGACTCACTAGAAAATAACATAATTAACTCTAATGATAAAGATATCATTTGCAGAAAGTTAAAGCAAAGTGGTGGGAGAAATGTAAGTGACTTTTTAAAAAATGCTTTAAAAACTTGTTTAACAGACAAGCTGTGCTGCAGCATTAATCGAACTAGTGCAGATAAAAAGCGTAAGTTTATAGGACCAGTCGAAAGTTTGATTTTTGATGCAGCTTACTGTTTATTTCCAACTGCCACTGAATCCAGTATGACTACAATAATTGCGAAACACTTGAAAAAGTCTAAAGATCGTTATTTTGCTGCAAGAAAGAGAAGTTCTTCTTTAACAAGTGATATACAAATACACAGTCTTGTTAGAAAAAAAAGAAATTTAAACACTGACTCATGTAGTGATTCCAGTTAACTTAATTTTTTTTTGTTTATTTGTTCTATTATTTTTTATTGACTTTTTTTTTTTAGATATTTTATTTGTTACAACTTTTTTAGCAATTATTTTCGAAAATTGATAAAGATTTAAAAAAAAAACTAAAATTTGACAGAAATTTTATTCTATTATCTTTTTAAATATCTTTTGAAATTATTAATTTAATTTAGGCAAAATCATATAGTTGTTAATAACTTTTTATTTTCAAAAGTAATCTATAACTTTTCTTTTAACATTTTATAACGGCTTTAACATTTATAACTTTTTATGAAAACAAGTATTAACATTTTGTATTTAATTTGTTATAAATGCAATCTTATTTTAATGGTTAAAATTTACTCCCCTGAAAAATATAGCACGCGATTCTTTGAGCATATCTTCTAACCTAGCCGATATTTTCTAGCCAAATCGATGTCATTGTCGTAACGACTTAATGCTAGCTATTCGCTAGCTTATTTAGCTAGCAATCCTCGTGGCCATACCGCTGTCTTTATCGTAACGACTTGTCACTAACTTGTTTAGCTAACGGATCGCTAGCTTATAAAGCTAGCGATCTTCGTGGCCAAATTGCTGTCTTTATCGTAACGACTTAGTGCTAGCTATTCGCTAGCTTATTTAGCTAGCGATCCTCGTGGCCATATAGCTGTCTTTATCGTAACGAATATCGCTAGCTATTCGCTAGCATGTTTAGCTAGCGGATCGCTAGCTTATAAAGCTAACGGTCCTCGTGGCCAAATCGCTGTCTTAATCGCAACGATTATCGCTAGCTATTCGCTAGCTTGTTTAGCTAGCGGGTCGCTAGCTTATAAAGCTAACGATCCTCGTGGCCAAATCGCTGTCTTAATCGTAACGAATATCGCTAGCTATTCGCAAGCCGATTTCCCACCGGGATATTTAGCTCGTATATATTTAAAATCTCATTTCAATAAAACAATGTTTTATGTGAGAAAACCGATTTGCAAAGCAGATTAAACAGATTGCGTGTTTCTGACGGCGATAAAGACGTTGTAACTTAGATTTTTCTGATCTACCCCAGGCGGTGTTAGCATAATTTAAATAACTGTGTATAAATTAATAATAGAGTTTGATTAAAACTTTCTTATTGAGGTAGATTCGTGCTTTAAATTAAACTCCTATGTTTTTTGAAATTTTAGTGCTTATGTAGTCGATATGATGATTCCAAGTGATGTTTTCATCAAGATAAACACCTAAATATTTTGTTACGGAATCCCTTTTTATTTCATTTTGATCAATAAATTTATTAGGTAAGTTTAATAGCAAATACTGTTTTTTAGAAAGCGAATTGAATAAGGTCCACTTTCTTTTATGAGAATTTAGAGTTAACTTATTACATTTAAACCAACTCGAACATGTCTAAGTTACTTGTTCATTGTTTTAAAAAGTTCAAAGATATCACTGTTATAAAATAATAAATTAGTATCATCTGCAAACATAATATTTGTTAATTTAGAGGGTTTATTTAAATCATTAATATAAATTAGAAAAAGAAGTCGACCAAGAATTGAGCCTTGTAGGACTCCACCTGTTATAGAAAGACAATTGGTATGTTAACCGTCATTTCTCGGAACAAATTGTTTACGATTTGACAAATAGCTTTTAAAACAGTTAAAAACTTTATTTTTTATTCCATTGTATTAAAGTTCATAGATTAAAAAATGGTGATCAACCGTATCAAAAGCTTTTGATAGATCAATAAAAAGTTTTAGAGTATATTGTGATTTTTCAAATGATCTTGAGATTTCACGTACATATTGGATAAATGGATGTTCAGTTGAGCTATTCTTTTTAAAACCGAATTGAATAATGTAAAGTTATTTATTAACATGAAAATATTTGTATACTTTGTTATATACAATTCTTTCTGAAATTTTTGAAAATGCGGAAAGAACAGAATTAGGGAAATAGTTACTAATAATTGGTTTGTCCTCATCTTTAAAAACAGGAATAATTTTTGCAATTTTTAACAGTTCAGGAAAAACACCTTGATGGATAGAAGCTTTAAAAACTTTAAAAAGAACAACTTTTAGCTCTTCAAAACAATCTATAATAACGTTTCCATTTATATAATCTACTCCAATTGCTCTATTTTTTTTTTTAACGATTTGAATGCTCTTTCAAACTCTTCAAACAATAATTCAGAAGACAACTCAACTGAACCAATGCAATTAATAATGGGTATTAGAAAAACAGTAAATAAAGATTTGATCTTGGGATTTTTTTAGAAAGTGTTGGACCTATATTGATAAAAAATTTGTTGACCTATAGTTCTTGGTTCGTATAAACTTTGATTATCGACTCTAACCATTTATAGCAGAAAACCTGAGCATTTTTTTTTTCCAATAATTTCATTCATTAATTGCCATGTGCGTTTTGTGTAATTTTTAAATGTATTGAGTATTTGGGAGTAATAATTTTTTTTTAGATTTTTGCGAGTTTTTTTTAAAAGATTTTTGTAGTCCTTGTAAATTTTTTCGTATTTAGGTGTTTTTGTTTTTAAAAACTTTATATATAGTTTTTTGTTTAATTATAGACGATTTTTTAAAGCCCTTTGTGATCCAGGGTGCATTGCAGCTCTTACTAGTTACTTTATTTTCAATAAATGGGAAATTAGCATTGTATACGTTTTGAAAAAGGACTCGTAGGTATTGTTAGCATTATCATTAAAATTTATGTTATTCCACCCGGTTGCCGTTTGGAACTCGAATTCGACCTCGTTAAACATCGTAAATAACTCGAAATAGAACTCGGATTCGAGCTCTTAAAGGAGACCCCTCGATTTCGAGCTCGCGCTGCGAGCTAAAAACATCGTAACCGAGCTCGGCGCCAAGTTTGTTACGATGTTATTAGCTCGCGCTACGAGCTTATAACGTCGTAATCGAGCTCGGTTGCGATGTTATTAGCTATAGCTTGCGCTGCGAGCTAATAACATCATAACCGAGTTCGGCGCCGAGTTTGTTACGATGTCCCAGAACGAAAAACTTCTACACTCTTATATACTGAGGTAATCATTCTTATTCAACTGATTTAGCACTTTAATTTATCTGAGGTAATAAGGATTAATGAATGGAGTGGTTAGAACTTGATAAACAATATAAAAAAATCATTTATTCAAAGTATACAATTTATTACATAATAAACTTACATTAAAATTGAATTGTTTAATAAAAAACAAAATTAAAATATTAATTTATACATACTATAAGACTTTATTAAAAATAAAATAATTAAAAATAAATATAAACAAATTTATGCAGAGTTTTGCTAAATTTACCTAGTCTAAAAGTTTTTTTTATTTAAATAGTATTTACAAAGACAAAGTTTTGTTGTTTTTTAATTAATGGAATTATTCACGTAGTGTTAAATAAGTAAAACTAAATTAATAAAATAAACAAACACTAAATATAATAAGTAAGAAATAAACATAAATATCACATTTTAAAAAGTTATACGCTGAAAATAATTTAATGTCATTTTTGTTTTTGTTTCGACTTAGAATGAGTATTCTTGTCGTTTGCATTATACAAAGATTTCTGCAATGACTTCTTAACGAGTTCTTCGTCCAAAAACCCGATTTTTGCCATGACACCTGCAAACACAAAAATTTAGGCATATAATATATTTATTATTATATTTGCATTAAAAATAATTACAGAAAAGTATAATAGAACTTATTCAGTGCTAAAACATTAAAATAAAATAATGCTAGTTACCAAAGATTGCTGGGCAGATTCTTGTCTTTAAAAGAGCGACACTACCGCTAACTCTTCCGGTATAACACATATTAATGCGCAGATCATCACTGAACAAAGCCTTCATGATCTTGCGACCAGCAGCCATATGTCCTAGTCTTCGGAGGTACTCTGCACCAAAATTCTTAATTAGCGCCTTTTTCTAGAAAAAAAAGGTGACATTAGCACAAGTATTAACAGTTCTATGAATTCAGACAATTACTACTTTATTCATGACTCACCCATTTACTATTAAATGAATCATTCTCAAGTTTATCATCCAAGCCTTTAATCTGAGAGACTGTACACATTGGAATTTGGCCAAGGTAAACATCGTTAGGTGGATGAACAGGCTTGACACAATTGATCTCCTCATCAGATATGTTATTTAAGTTTAGAGTTTTCTTTTTAAAAACATTGGATAAACCTAGCGCATCTTGTATTTGCATTAACGAAGTATATACAAAATCTTGAAAATCTGTAAAAGTGTTATTTTGTTTTATAACAATCTACACTAAAATTTAGATAACTAATATAAAATTAGAAAAATAATTGTAGTAGTACTGTAATTATTTTTGTATATATATATATATAAATCTTTTCTGGTTAAAAAATGCAACAACTAATATTAAAGCAAATTAATTTAAAGGACAGATGCAATAAATATAACATAATTATAACAGGTACTGCAGAACTGCAAAAAACATACCTGGCACTGACATATCTCTGCCTCTCTTTAAATGTTTATTTTCAGGAATTTGAAATGATTCCGTCGGTGCCCAAGACAATATCCTCTTAATCAGGGAACCATCACTGTAACCCATGTCAGTGTATGGCTTAGGAGGGGAGATGTGAATAAAATCTCCATAATTGCTAAGGGCACGACCTGATTTGAAAGAGTAACAAAGCATTAAAAGAATTAAAAAAATTGTAAAAAACTAGTTAGTCAGTGTGTACTACTAATGTATAGTGCAGCACTATCGAATAACAGGCACTGAATAATCTATATCACAATATATTCTACACATAAATAGTTATTATGAGAAAAGCTTAAGAATTTATTATTGTTATTTTTTCAGTGCATTTTCATTAGTCTCATAACATCATAGTATATCTATATCTATATATATTTAAACTTCTTCTTGCTGATAAAGGTGAGCAAAAGGATATAAAAACTGCTCACTATCTTTTAGTGAGCAAGTATTGAAGAAGTAGAGGGATAAGGAAGAATAATGAAAATAAATTGATCCCTGGCCTAACCATGACTCTTCGTTGTGTTAGCAACTCCATTGCGAGTTCTCCTTAAATCAGTCGATGTGTTGTACTTTATGTTATGTGCTGTTAAAAATAACAATAATAAATTCTTAAAAATCTCTCTCTCTCCCTCTCTCCCTCAAAGATCTGCGCTCTGTCCTAGAGAATAAGAACGAATAATTTAAACTTACTTTCATGAGAACTTGCTCTAGAGTCTTGTAATACTTGGTCAGAATTATGAGTATTTAGATAGCTATCACCTCTTATTCTAGAGTTATCAGATTCTGACAAGGTTCTGACTGAACAATGAGCTGCACTGGAACCTACACTGCGCATGGAACCAGAAAGTATCCTCTTGCTCTTGGAACCACCGCTGTGATTCATGTCATAGTATTGCTTAGGAAAAGAAATTTGACTGGAGTCATCATAATTTCCATTGACACGACCTGAGTAAAAAGAGTAACAAGGTAATAAAAGAAACAAAATCGTAAAATGATATTGCATAGGTAGGTACTACTAATGTATAGTGCAGCACTATCAAATAACAGGCACTGAATAATCTATATCCCAATATATTCTACACATAAATAGTTATTTTGATAAATGCTTTAGAATTTTTTATCGTTATTTTTACAGTGCATTTTCATTAGTCTTATAACAACATAGTATATCTATATATATCTATATCAACATCTATCTATCTATCTATCTATCTATCTATCTATCTATATAATATATATATATATATATATATATATAATATATATATATATATATATATATATATATATATATATATATATATATATATATATATATATATATATATATACATATATATACATATATATATATATATATATATATATATATATATATATATATATATATATATATATATATATTTATATATATACATATATATATATATACATACATATATATATATATATATATATATATATATATATATATATATATATATATATATATATATATATATATATATATATATATATATATACATATATATATATACATATGTATATATATACATATGTATATATATACTTTAAATTCAATAATTCATTAATAATTAGGAAAAGATCTGTGCTCTGTCCTAGAGAGTAAGAAGGAATAATTTAAACTTACTTTCAAGTGAACTTGCTCTAGAGTCTTGTAATACTTGATCAGAATAATGAGTATTTAGAGAGCTGTCACATCTCATTCTTGAGTTATCAGCTTCTGACAAGATTCTGACAGAACCACGAGCTGCACTACAACCCACACTGTGCTGGGAACCAGAAAGTATCCTCTTGCTCTGTGAACCACTAGTATGACCCATATCAGAGTATTGCTTAGAGTAGAAAGAGTAACAAGGTAATAAAAGAAACAAAATCGTAAAATGATATTGCATAGGTAGGTACTACTAATGTATAGTGCAGCACTATCAAATAACAGGCACTGAATAATCTATATCCCAATATATTCTACACATAAATAGTTATTTTGATAAATGCTTTAGAATTTTTTATCGTTATTTTTACAGTGCATTTTCATTAGTCTTATAACAACATAGTATATCTATATATATCTATATCAACATCTATCTATCTATCTATCTATCTATCTATCTATCTATCTATCTATATATATATATATATATATATATATATATATATATATATATATATATATATATATATATATATATATATATATATATATATACATATATATACATATATATATATATATATATATATATATATATATATTTATATATATACATATATATATATATACATACATATATATATATATATATATATATATATATATATATATATATATATATATATATATATATATTATATATATATATATATACATATATATATATACATATGTATATATATACATATGTATATATATACTTTAAATTCAATAATTCATTAATAATTAGGAAAAGATCTGTGCTCTGTCCTAGAGAGTAAGAAGGAATAATTTAAACTTACTTTCAAGTGAACTTGCTCTAGAGTCTTGTAATACTTGATCAGAATAATGAGTATTTAGAGAGCTGTCACATCTCATTCTTGAGTTATCAGCTTCTGACAAGATTCTGACAGAACCACGAGCTGCACTACAACCCACACTGTGCTGGGAACCAGAAAGTATCCTCTTGCTCTGTGAACCACTAGTATGACCCATATCAGAGTATTGCTTAGGAGGGGAAATGAGACTTGAATCATTATAATTTTGATTGACACCACCTGATTAAAAAACAAAAGAAACAAAATTGCAAAAAAAAAAACATTTAATAAGTATTTACTAATAATGTATAGTGCTGTGTAATTTACATTGTCTCATAAAATCGCTGTATAAATAAATATAAAATAAATTTGTAAAAAAAAACTTAAAAAACATGGATTTAGTCCTAGAAAATAAGAATGAATAACTTAAACTTACTTTCATGAGAATATTGCCTAGACTCTTGAAAGCCATGAAAATCTAAGCCTTTCTTATTTGGGGTAGTAATGTTCTGATTATTTATAGCTTTACCATTACTTATTACATAATCTGATTCCCTTCTCTCTGCACTTCCTGTCTTCATTGCCTGAGATGACAACGTAAAGGATGGTGGAAAGCTGTCAGGATTGTCACCTTAAACTTTAACAAAAGCCTTATTTTAATATCGGACATTTAGGAACAACCTAATCATTAAGTCAAACTGATAACTGGGCAATAGAATTCGTACTTGATCTCTTCAATTACATACAATGGTATAAAATATACAATATATATATATATATATATATATATATATATATATATATATATATATATATATATATATATATATATATATATATATATATATATATATATATATACAACCCTCGGAATTAGAAAAACTAAAGTTTGCAAAAAATTACTGACCTTAAACATTAGGTCAGCAAAAAATTATTTAAAAAGGTTTTAAAACAAAAAGTAAAAACAAGATTGGCAAAAAATTGCTGACCTTAACAAAACAAGGTTAACAGTTAGGTCAGCATTGCAGAATGCCAACCCTAATTCCGAAGGCTGTATATATATATGTATATATATTTATGTATTTACTTAGTTCTCCTGAAACTGTGGAACTGCTGCTGTTGCTGTTACGTTGTTTAGCCTGTTTGGTATATTCTGGTATATCCTTATTACTTCTTTTACCTGCACAAAAAATATTTATATCTAGTGTAAATCTTTGCAACAATACCTAGTTAATGAAATGAGATTTTACATATTGCTAAATAATAACCCCAGTAAATTATTTTAATAGTGTAACCAATTTAGGTTTATAAGTATTATTGTTTTGTGCACTTTTAATTGTGCATTTTTAATTGGTTGTTTTTTTGGTTGGAATGCGTTTGCGAGGAATAATATAATATAACTTGTATAAATGTTTACATTTAAAAAAATCAAAAAGATACAGAATTATGAAGAAAAATAATACTTTTTTTTCTTAAATTTATAAATTCGTTTATATTTTTGTAGCACTTTGTTATTTTTGTTTCTTAAATAAAACTTACTATTGTTAACTGAATTAACTGATACTGTAGCACAACCATATGTTAAATAATATTAAAAATATTTATAATTTAAAATAAGCTTAGTTAAAAAAAGTTACAACAATATATTTAACGTATTTGTCATTCAAATATTTGTAACGGCAAATTCCCGTTATCCATTATTCCATTTTTTTTTTTTTTTTTTAATAATTATGTAAAACCGTAAGAACCGTTATTTTTCTGACCGGTGCCTATGAAAAATGCCCCCCTCAGCCATAATTTTAACCAGCCGAAAAATATATACCGGTAAATTTTAGAATAAATTAGAGATGGGCCAATTCCGATTCTCAAGGAATTGTAAGATTTGCGTTTCTCTACATTGTTTAACGATTCCGATTCTTTTATTAAAAAAAAAAAAAGGGGGGGGGAGGTATGTATGTATTTTGTAAATAATGGGGATGGATAGAAGTACTTTTTAAATAGCACAATGTCAGACGAAAGTACAGCACACTTAAAATAACCTCTGCTCGCGAATCACAATGGTGTATTTGAATACTGGAGGAAATCCAAGTTTCTTTATATGAAAAAACAACACAGTAACATTCTATAAACAGTGTTTTTGGAGTGGTTATTTAGTATTGCGTGGCTTATCTGCGACCGGAAAAAATCATTTTAACTCCCCAACGAATGTAAATACTTGTGTTACTGAACAGGAACCTGTCCTTCTTAAAAGTATTTTATTTATATTACATTAATCAGTATACTGACTACTATTATTAATAAACTGAAAAGGTTTTTCAGCTGGGCCTAGCAATATAACTGATTTGTTTTCACCTTTAATGTCGTTAATTTAAATGCGTTAGTGTTTATCAAACAATGCATTCAGGGCCGGTGATAGGGGGTGCATAGACTATAGGGAGATAAGTGGGTACCTCCCCACCTCCTCTCTTCAAAATAATTGCGCCGGCCCTGATTAAATTTTTTTAATTGCATTATTAGTTTATTAAAATAATAAAGAATCGGAATCGGTAAGAATCGCAATCGCAATATATTGTGATTCCGATTCTTTATATAATGAATCGGAATCGGCCCATCTCTAGAATAAATATTCCGCGGGGATATAATGTTTCTTATCCACTCATTTAATTCGGCAATATTTAAAAAATCTTGTGTATGCCATTACTTATCTTGATTATATTCATGATGAAGATTCCATAGAAATATAAAGCCGATAGGGTTTTTATAATATAAACCAAATATTAAATACTACCTTATACTATTTATACTCATTATATATACATATATATTTAACCATAGTCCTAAGAATGCTTTCTTATAACTATGATTTAACAGAGCACGTTGTTTGAACGATTGAACAAAAACAATTTTTTTAGGAGGAAGGGGGGGAGCCCCCCTAAAAACTTCTTGTTAAATGGCTGTAAAAATTAGCATTAAGTTTTAATAAAATTGTGTGGTGCATATTTTAAACTGTGTTATAACAATATAAAAGTTTTTCTAGATCTCTAAAATCTTATATAGGATACATTTGAAACGTCTTCCTCACTCTTCTCAACATAAAAAGTAATAAAGAAATGAAAGTATTTAAAAATATTTTCTATAAAATAAAATATGATTATAGTGTAAATAACTAATACTGTAATACAATGCTCCCAGAAAACATGTTTGCAATATTTACATTTTATTACATTATTGCTTCTTTTTAGTTTTGCGAGGAATATTTGGCTGAGAATAGCACTCTTCACATTGAGGAAAATGTTCTTGTTTTTGTGTTGCTATTGGTAGGTCTGGTGAACAATAAACACAAATGTCAACATAGTTGGCTGAGTAATACAAAGGTTCAACTGGTTCACCACAATTCATTGATCGAACAAATACCACATCTTGCAAACCCTCAGGCAACTCTGCATCTTGCAGTAAGGAGCCACAAGAAAAATACAGCCCATCTAGAGCACATTCAAGCAGCTGCCTCTCATCTGTTTTAAGTTTTCTTGAAGCATAGATAACTCTCCACATACCACACTCATCACAACACAGCATCATGCCACTATTTTTGGCATGTTGTACACTCGCATAGAAAGGAAGAGAGCTGCCTTTAGCTTTCTTGAGTGAAGGTCTATCATTTTCAGAAGTTTCCGTTCCATGGACATCCTCAAAAGATTTGAAATGACCATCATCTTTTATCAGAGGGTCTGGAAACAATTTGATCTTTGAGAATTCTTTAGTGGACAGCCTCAATCTGCCACAGATCTCACATTCTGGACTCCCACACTTTCTTACTTCAAAGAAGTAGTGACGTTGACGGCAGCAATGAGTTAAAAATTGGCTTAACCTTGGTGTCAAACATTTTAGATTAATTTTTTCAATATAGCTTAAGTTAAACTCAGAGTCTAATTTATTTAAACAACTCCACACTTCGGTTTGAAGATCTTTAGAAGCAGACTGAGTAACATTAAACTTCTTGTCTTTTAACTGTAATCTTTCAGTTATTTTACTCAAAAGTATTTTAACAGGCTCTATTGAGTCCAATAAATCTTCACGAAGAATATTCTTTTCTGCAATTATTCTAATTTTTGCAATACTAATGTAGTTCTTTATAGCTTTTTCGTTACTGTCAACCATTATATTACGTGCAACACCAACCGATTGAAGACCCATATTCAAGATTGACATGACCCGTTCTGCAGGATTTCTATATGAATGGTAAGGAGCAGTGCGAGCAGCACACAAGTAGTCAAGATCAAGAAATAAAAAAAGGGAAATCATAGATAGCTTAACACTCATGTAGGTCACTCTGTGATCTGGACCACCATCACCATCACTTTTTTGCGTTAATGTTTTTTGCTTTAAAGTCTTTCAATTGCTGCAAAAAATAGAATCAGTGACTTGCTTAAACTATTAAAGCAACTTCGAATTGAAATATTTAAGCGTTTTAATCAACGTATTGAACAAAGTCCTTGCTGTTAATAAAAATAACGTAAATAGTTGTAAACAATTAAAGTTAGTAAAAAAAATTTAAGAGTTAGTAAAAAATAATATAAATATATATAACTGATTGTAGATGAAAATAAAAATAGTAATTAAAAAAAACATTTGTTGCATTCATTAAAGAAAAAGTTTAAGCAAAACAGGTTTTAGTGAAAGTTTAGTTTTTTTGATGAAATACTTAAAGGTTTTTGAATTAAAAAAATTTAAATAAAATTGATTATAAAAATAGTTTTAAAATTAAATTTTACATACCTATAGAGATAAATAAAATTACATGCATTAAAGTTCAAACTTTTGATTATATTTTGTTAGTTTTGCTTTCGTTGTTTTTAAAACTTATTTTTTGACGCAAAGTATTGAAACGCTTAATATAATAAAACTTGACAACGGGATCAAGTTGGCTAAATAAAAAACTAAAGTGTGGACAAACAAGAGGAAAAACTGCACTCCTGGGAAGGCTTGCACACTAGTCACATTTTTAGCTAAGCACGTCATAAAATAATTTTAATTAGTCATAACATTATGATATAATATATGATTAAAAATAACTAGTTTTTTAACTAAAAAAAGAAATTTTCACTAGCAAAAAATTTTTTTTTTTTACTTACGTTTTTTTTTAAGTATTTGTCCATCATAGTTTTTCCACTGTCCATGTGTCCACTCTACTTTATTGAAAGCTTCAGTTTTATTTTTTAATAATTTATTTATAATAAGATACGAAGAAGATACAGGATATGATGCAGTTAATTCATTTTTAAGCCAAGACATTAAAATGACCTCAGTGTGGGGTGCAGGGTCTTTAAAACGAAATACTCCATAGCATAACTAAAGAAAATAACAAAAACACAATCACATTTTTTATCTTTTAAATAATTATAATTATACTATACTATACATAAAAAGTTATTCAGATTCAGTTTCAATGTTGCTAAAAAATAAAAATATATATATACAGGCTTCGGAATTAGATTCGGCATTTGGCACTGTTGACTTACTGCCGACCTTAAAGTGTCTGAGATGATTTTGCGCTGACATCTTTTATATATTTTATGGTAAAACCTTTGTAATTTTTTTTTTTTGCTAATCTGATGTCAACCTAAAATAGTTGAATGTTGGCAATTTATTGCTGACCTAAATTTACTTAATGGCGAGGGTTGTCTAATATACTATATAATACTAAATAATGGTTAGCTAGCCCAATGGCGCCGCGTATAATGCAGAATAGCTGATGGATTTAAAATTCCAAAAACCAACGACTTTTTTTTTAAATGTGTTTTTTTAGAGTTTTCAGAGGCAATTTCTATAAAATTCCCAAGAACAACCACTAGAAATATTCCTAATACTGCAAAAATACTTTTTTGTAAGTAACAAACTGTCTGGTTGCCCCACCGGGCTACCCCAGGTCATAAGTTACCAGGTCGCCATTTGAGAAAACGAGTTGTCTTGTGCACCCGGACAACCATGAAGGTACTGATTATATATATTTTACATGAATACAACTTTTATCTACCTTTTTATTTTCTTTAATTTCAATACCAATAAGCTTGTTACTTATAGTGAATGCATTATGTACATATATTTATATAGTAGCTCTGAACAAAGTTTAAGTAGTATTAAAAGTTTTCTTACTTAATTGCAGTGGGCCATTGGGAAAACAGCTAACGCAGCATCATCGTATGGTACCCTTACACATTTGCATTTTACAGCTATTATAGGTACAACAATTCTGTTATTGCAATCTTGAACAATGTGAATTCCCAAAGAGGATGATCTACGAGGATATGTATAGAGATCTATTTTGTTTGAATAGATCATAGATATTATTACTTTGTCTCCTGTAAGCAAGTTCTTTACAAAATTCATAGCTAAGCAAACATCCCCAGTGTTAGTTGTGAAGCAATTATCTGGCTCTCTTATAGTCAGTTTGAATCCTTCAAATTGTGCTTCTTGAAATTGTGATCCTGTTACACCTTCAACTAGTGATCCATTTTTGTGAAGTTTCACAAACTTCACTTTATTGAATGGTCTTTTTTACAACCA